AGCTAATTCATATTTACATAAAGCCAACCAAGAAAAAAAAAAATGAAAACAAAAAATGGAAGTACATAATACAAATTTTTATATAGGACAGTCTAACCTTTAGACAGTCGACCCGGCATTTTTATCTTTTTTTTTGGTAGAAACACATATTTATATTACGAAATATCATGTTATTATGAAACGTAATTTTTTAATTAAGTACCTAATATTAGTCAAGAAACAATGTAGAGTGAACATTAAAGAAACAATGTAGATACCCAAGAGCGCTTTGATGAGATGGTTTGAGTCTCTTTCAGCTTAACTAGTAGTCTCGTGTTCGAGCCCTGGGAATGCAGCAGTGTTAAAACTCTTGAGGGAGAGTTTTGCCGCCCTTGTGGTCCTACCCGGCTCGATTCCGAATTAGTCGGTTCCCCTGTGGATCCGGAAACCGAAAGGTCCCTGTACCAAAAAAAAAAAAAAAGAAAATAATGAAATAATAAAATCTCTTATATATATATAAAATAAAATATAGTTAATGTCCGTAATTTTCTCATTAGGTTAACTGCTCAAATAGTCTTCAGTGCAAAGACTATTTGGTCACACCATCAAACCCATGAATGGATGCCCTTTAAAGCCAAGAAAAGCTTAGAATTGTAACCATACAAAGTAAATGAAAATTTCATTTATTTTTTTTTTATTTTTTATTTATTTATTTTTTTTTTTTCTGAAATGTAATTTGAACATCAAATATTGACTAATTTTGAAAAATAGTAAATAGGATCGGAGCAAAATGTATGTTCATTGACTAGTGGTTTTGAAAAATTAAATTTAATTCTGTACAAATTACACTAAAAAAAGTGTTATATTCCAACGAAAAATCTTATATTAATATATTTCAATGAAAATTACAACGGATATTCTAATGGTATAGCTTCCGTTGGAATGGTTCCAATGGAAATTATAGCGGAAATATTCTGTTGGAATGTGTTTTTCATTGGAATTTTAGATGGAATTTGATGATTCCAACGGCTATTTTTCCAACGACTTTTTACTATAAGAATTTCCGTTGAAATTTTTATTTCCACCCCCGTTGGAATCGTCAAAATCCAACGGAAACAATGGAAAACCAATTCCAACGAAATACTTTTGTTGGAATTTCCGTTGGAATCCATTGAAAAATTCCAACGGAAATAATAGTATTGAAATATCCGTTGAAATTATCGTTGGAATAATTCTATTGGAATGTATTTCTGTTGGAATTTCGTCATTTTCTTGTAGTTTGCGAGTAACTGCATACAAGTGAAATATTCATGAATGTCAAATTTGAAAAAATACTGATTTTCTTTTTTGGGTACAAAAAAAAAAAATACTGAAATTAACTATAAAAAACCTAACTATATAATAAAATTATAAAATCATTTTTATTTTTTTTTTGCTTCATACTGTTCTTGTACACCAACCACACCTAATTCTGTTATACATGCACTCTGATTCAACTTTCAACACCCTTTTGTACCGAAAAAAAAAAACAAAAAACTTTCAACACCTTATTTTATTTAACTAATAATTTAATGCACAACAATGAAAATGTGAATATTCTTTCGAAAAAAAAGGAACCATTCTAAACATATAATCCCAACAATATAGTTGAACATGTTATAATATAGTTAACTAGTACAATACCCGTGTATTACACGGGTGCTTGTTAGAAACATTATTCTTAAATTTTAAAATTAGTGAGAAAAATTGTTTTAAATTTTATTTACCTTTTTACAAAAAAAATATATATTATTATATAGTTTAGTATGACATTTGTTACTTGTGTGATTTACATGTGTTATATTATAGTAATATTTTTAACTTATATCATATAACTACTTGAAATATAAATATATTAATGGATAATTTGAATTTCTAATGAATATTAAACAAAATTATTGTTGTTACAAAGATAATATACATTTTTATACATACAATATGGATGTTAAATCGAAGCTCATCAAGAGATGATTAATTTGGTATATTATATGTGTAAAACTGATAAAAAATACAAAAATTATTAATTTTTAAAATACATTTACAATTTAATGGTTATAATAAAAAATGATATTAAAATACAATTAATACATGTAAGATGACCATAAATAATCAACATATTTATAGATAATCCGAACCTAATTATTTTTTGATAGGAAATAAATTAAAACCTACCCAAACCTAATAACGAAGCATGTAATTTTGCCATATAGGATCCCGAAGCATGAGAGTCTGCCACTTAGACTCAGCACGTTCTGAATTAATATATAAGGGGGATATAGGGGGATTATGGTACATATTTACAATGAAAACAAAGTATTTACACATTAAAATTTTTCATGCATGCAGTTAGTAGATACATAAACATGATCATCAATATTGTCTAAGAGATTCGAGCTCGAGCCAAGCTTTTGTACAAACACCATTTGAGTACGATTGGTCATCATTCGAGCGATCAATTTGTTATGATTACTTAATTACAAAATTCGAATTATTTGTTTTAATTGTTTAAATTTAAATATTCCATTCGAAACACTATTAATTATAATATTTTACTCGACAATTCATACTGATCAGTTCTATAATTCGTAAAAAAAATACGTTTATCTTCTATACTTTATCGTCCATTATTATTTAAAGATGTGATAAAATTTTTTGTATTAATATTATACTCTTTAATTGAAAAAATTGTATTTTTTTTTTTCTATATACTCAAACAAGCTCAATAGCGGATTTGACGGGTCAAACCTCTCAATTAAGTCTAATCCGCTAATTTATCCCCAATCCGCTATTTTCCAAACGGGACCATTGTTTTAGAGGGATTTTTCATAGTTAAGAGGTCATTTTCGGAAAATAAACTAATCAGCGATTATTTTTACGCATTAGCTAATAAAGCAGTTGCCTCCTATCCTATCTGCCAATTTTTTGTTGCACTTCAAAGACTGTCATCGTCTCAACGGCAGTTGGCCACTTGAAATGACAATTGTGCCCCTTATAGCCTTTTTACCAAATAAATAGAAATACTAACAAAATGAGAAAAAGCTCCATGAAAATAAAAGGGTATATATGTGGAATAAATATTATTACAAGGAGCTATTGATGCAAATTAATTGACTTGATTTTTATGAAAAAGCATAGAATAATTGCACTAATTGACTTGATTTTTATATGATCAAACGATATTGTTGGTGCAATATTTATTCAGTCTCGTTTTGAATTTGGGTTTTGTTATTCGATTGTGCAATTGGCAAGCAGGTCTTCTCGGGACTTGATCTTAAATTTAACTAATATAAATTTGAGAGTGAAATAACTTGTTTTCGAGTAAAACGTTATGATTTAATTTGATGAAATTCTGCCAAAAAGTTTCTTATACCGTTTAATTAAAAAAAAAATATTTATTTAACCCCTTAGATGACATGAAAATTTGGAATATATTTGCATATTTATTTTTTTATTCAATTAGAGCAATTAAATAAAATAATAAACTTATAAAAATAGCAAAAGTTTCCTTGAAGCAAAATGTCATGCAGTAGGTACAGTGTACAAGTAATTAGTTATTTACAACAAATTTTGGCAGAGGGCATTTCAGTCAATTCCGCGTCAACCACTTCCACCTAATATCTTATCTAAATTCTAATTTAACCCACATAAATCTTCACCCTCAGAATTTTTATCCATTTCTTTCCTTGTCCAGAATAAAAAATAAAAGAAATAAAAAAATGAAACACATAAAAAGAAAAATGATAATTGAATTTAAATATTTAGAAAAAAATAAAATTCACGATAAAATTGTAATTTTTTTTAAAGAATGGTACCACTGAAATTCATTTATTTACATGTAGATTCCAATTTTATGATACAATCGACCAAGTTACTTTTCGATCACCAGAATTCGAGTCGCGTTTTTCAATTAAAAAATTACGTATATTTTTGTTAAGATAAGAGGAACACATCACCTAAGTAGGAGTGTAAACGAGCCAAGCCGAGCTCGAATTCATGTTACTTGACCTCGAGCTCAAGTTCACGAAGCAACTCAACTCATTAGCTTATTTTTTTTATTTTTTTGGTACAGGGACCTTCCGGTTTTCGGATCCACAGGGAAAACGACTAATCCGGAATCGAGCCGGGTAGGACCACAAGTTAAATGAGTTTGTAGTCGAGTTAGATTTTACTTAACGAGTTGAGCTTTAAATGAGCTTGTTAAACGAGTTGAGTCGAACCGAGATCAAGTCGAACCAAGCCGAGTCGGGCACATGAGTGACTCATTTAAAACTCGATTCTTAGAGTTGTTAAATGAAACGAGACGTTACTGAGTTCGGCTCGACTTGTTAAAACTCGACATCGACTCGTTAAGTTTCGAACTCACCCCGTTAATATTTTTATTATTAGAACGAGTCGAGCTGGAGTTTGATTCTTGCTCGTCTATACTACTCAACTATAAATTTTGGAAAACCGTGATATAAAATATATTTTTGCCAAAATAAAATAAATAAATAAATAATACATAAATGTCGCTTGTCATCGTCTTCTCCTCATTACGTACATAAACTGATAAACAGAGCACACCACAGCCCATACAACGATACGAAGGAAACAGAACAATAACTCAGTATTATAACTGCCATTTTCTACACTCTTCAACTCGGTATTGATCCACTGAGCCAACTCGGAGCCTGCTGAATTCCCTTCAATACCATTGAGCCAGCAATTGGAATTTTGGCGCGTTTGGGAAATTTGGCTCCAAAGGTTATATTCCACCGGACGTCGACGAAGCTCCGGCGAGTCGTCGACAGAGATCGAGCTGGCGGCGGGGAAAGGCAATGCGTTGATTTGGGGTGAAAATCGGTCAATATGTTCAAGCATGCGCGATGGTGGAGCGAGAGGAACAAAATCAAAGTCGATTTCAAGCTGCAATTTCATGCTTCTCAGGTACTCTCAGCTTTCATTTTGCTTTCACCTTCTTGTTCTTCGTCTCGTAGCAGAACAGGTAAATCGATGTTGAATTTCGTGCGTTAAGGCGAAAATTTCGTGCCAATCCACTGGGGAGACAACTTTTTCAGTAGATTTGTTTGGTGAATATGCGCAGTATGTGTGTGTGTGTGCTTTGATTTATCAGTTTACATTTAATTGTGGAATGGCGCACTCTGCAATGCTATGAACTTGGGGCAATTTTGGTTGGGACATGTGAAAGATAAAAGCTGTCCAAGTGCAGGTCACACAGGTTGGAGGAGATGGGTTGATGGTATCGGTTATTCCGGCTGAATCTGGGAAGCCGACTGCAAAATCGGACAAGGCCACGATACGAGATGGAAGCTGTTGCTGGGCGAAACCCGTATACGAAACTGTGAAGTTCAATCGGGATCCGAAAACCGGGAAGATTCATGAGAGGTTGTATTACTTTGTTGTAGGCACGGTATGATTTATCTCGCTTTTTTTTCGTTCTTAGGAAGAACAAAATTTTACGGTTTGCTTAGTTTTGAAGTGACTTATGATGGTGCTAATTTGGTGTGTTTCCAGGGGCTGTTGAAATCTGGAGCTGTTGGAGAAGCTTCGGTTGATCTTTCGGATTATGCTGAGGCGACCAGGGTCTCGACGGTGTCTCTCCCCTTACAGAACTCAAAATCAGAAGCTATGTTGCATGTGAGTACAATAGTGTTATGTGTTCTTGATCCTTTCAGACTCTCACCGAGAGATCTTGTACGATTGATTGTAGTGGTGATTTCCATTTAATTACGTTTTATGGGCCGTGTTTTGGTTTTACTGCTGATCTGAACATTGATGTTTGAAAAGGTGTCGATCCAGAGGATACACGAGTCTATGGACGAAAGGTGAAGATGAATACTCTAGTTCTGTTTCCATTCAACATTTTTTATATGTTTGTAGTAGATTTGAGAATGTTTATGAACATTGTTTGTTCCTCACAGAGAAATTGAAGAACGTGAGAATGTGAAATTGGATTCTGTAGAACACGCGTCGAGCTTACAGTTAGGCGACCTTGATACAACTAAAACTAGCACAACTGATTCTACAGATGTAATCTCATGCACTCAGGCAATGCTTTTTGCTTTTGTGTTGTGTTTGAATTGCAACCATTGTGTGAAAGAAAAAAAAAAAGCAATTAATCATTTTTCAGTTTGATCAAATTTTACAGTATCTTACAAAGACTGGCAAATAATTGCTTATGGATTTTCTATTTTAACAGGATATCCCATTCAATAAGACATTTTATCCTCCTGATTCAAACACGAAACACCGGGTATCCAGCGAATCCGACGACACATTATCAAGTTCAGAGAGCAGCACAGGACTCGAAACCCATTGGGAACTCCACATGAACAATGCCGACAAAACTCATCAGAAGCTGAAATCTGGTTCGCATACACCAATCTACAAAGATCACCGCACATCATGGGATTGGTTAGGCAATCCTAAAGACGATGTGTTAATCAATCCAGAAGGAGGAACCTTTTTAGAGCAAGAGGAGACTGAAGAGGCCCCGGATATTTTGATCCAGAAGCTGAAAGCCAATGTCTCGGCTCTAGCCCGTCAGGCGGCTATGTCCGAACTGGAACTGCAGGCTCTTCGTAAGCAGGTGGTGAAGGAGAGCAAAAGGGGCCTCGACCTCTCTCAAGAAATCGCCTTTTTGAGAGAAGAGAGGGATTCTCTGCAGGGAGAATGCGAAAGACTCAAAGCTTCCTTCCACAGACAAACGAACAGCGGACGATCAGATTCTCAGGCAGCAGTCATTGAAGAATTGAGGCAGGAACTCAACCACACCAAGGAACTTAACGCTAACCTCCAAATCCAACTCCAGAAGACGCAGGAATCAAACGCCGAGCTCATTCTCGCCGTCCAAGACCTCGATCAGATGCTCGAGCAGCAAAACCGAGATTCTGGCCCCACGCATCAGTCAGACGGTGACGGTGACGATGACGAGCAGAAGGCTCTAGAGGACCTTGTGAAGGAACACGGTAACGACTCTAAGGATGCTTACCTTGTGGATCAGCAGATCACAGACCTGCTCACCGAATTTGAGATCTACAAACGAGATAAGGACGAGCTTGAGGTCCAGATGGAGCAGCTCGCGCTCGACTATGAGATCATGAAGCAGGCCAACCACGAGCTGTCAAGCAGGCTCGAACAGACCCAGATTCAGGAACAGCTCAAGATGCAGTACGAGCCTTTGTCCCCCGAAACAGACACGATCAGCGAGCTTGAGTTCCACATAGAGACCCTTGAGAACGAACTCAAGAGACTGTCGAAAGATTATACGGACTCGTTCGCCAAAATAAGCTCTCTTGAGGCACACTCGAGAAGCTTGGAGGATGAGCTCGAGAAGCAGGCGCGAGGGTTCAAGGAGGATCTGGAAGGGCTCACGTGGGCCAGAGTCGAGCAGGAACAGAGAGCCGTAAAAGCTGAGGAGGATCTCAAAAAAATGAGGTGGAAAAATGCAAACACTGCTGAGAGGCTTCAGGAGGAGTTCAGAAGGTTGTCCGTGCAGATGGCGTCCACGTTCGAGGCCAACGAGAAGCTCGTGACAAAAGCCATGACCGAGACGAAAGAAATCCGTTTCGCAAAAGGCCGTCTTGAGGAAATGCTCAAGAAGGCCCGTGAGGAGCATGAGGTCATCCAGGTTGGTTATGAGGCTAGAATGAGCCCAATGGCGGATGAGATTGAGCGAATGAGATTAGATATTGAGGAAAAGGCGGGAGAATTGGAAAATCAGAAATGTAGTGCCGAGGATTCTCGAAGGGTGCTGTCGGAAGAGATTTTAGTGCTGAGGGACGAGATCGAAGCACACTTTGCAAAGAATAAAATTCTCATGGAGGAGATCGAGAGTAAGAAAAGCCTGGTGCACGAGGTGGAACTGATGAGAGTTTCGGTTAAGGAAAAGGAGTTGCTCGTCGAGCAAGCAAATGATGAAAGGACTGAGCTGGAGAACAGGCTTGAGGAGTTAAATAAGGAACTGGATAAGATGAGGTGTCTTCTGAGAGAGAAAGAGTCTGTAGCTGCAAATATGAAGATTGAACTTGACGTGATTCGAGCTCAGTGTGAAGAGATGAAGGATTCACAACTTCAGGATGTGGCTGACAAAGAGAAATTGAAGAAACAAGTAGTGCAGTTAAAAAGTGATATTAAGAAAAGAGAGGGAGCAGTAATCAGCATGGAGAAGAAGATAAAGGATGGCGGCGGCCGAGGAATGAATCACGGTGTTGTTAAAGCTAATTCGAAAACTAGCAAGCCTATGGCCCGTACGTCCAAAGAGATTATGGGTCTCAAGGAGAGAATAAAGTTGCTTGAGGTACACCTGTACATCATTCCTTTTGCTATAACTAGAATAATAATAATAAT